AGAGAGATATGTGAAGCTTGGTTTAGGTGTTAGCCAGGTTACTTTTGAGGATCACTTCATTTTGTATGTATTAATTATGTTCATTTACTTTATACTAAATCATTAAGCTCTATGTGTTTATTTTTGCTACTACTAATAGTATATATCTGACTTTGAGATATAGAATTGAACAAGAACTAGGAATAGAAATCAAGAAAATCCCTTCACAGATAGATTAAGCTATATATAAAGTCTTCTATGTTATTTCCCCTTATTTTTCTCTAGGAATAGAAATCAAGAAAATCCCTTCACAGATAGATTAAGCTATATATAAAGTCTTCTATGTTATCTCCCCTTATTTTTCTGAATGATTTTTTGATGAAGTAAATTTAGTTGTTTTGTAGTCCTGGTAGGTTCTGATTAGACTTAAAAGCTAGTTCAACTTGCTTGCTTTAGATCGCTCTAATGGTTTTCTTCCATTTTTAAATTTTGGAAGGCTACATAACAATTGAAGTAAAATTAATGAACTCTTTAAAATGAGGTTTCCAGTAGACCTTATCACGTGATTCTTGTTAAGCTTTGAACACTTCAAGATTCTTGAAAAATTTCCTTATTCTTGATTAGTTCATTAAATTTTGTCTATCCTATTAATTCACTGTCTTTCTTAATTCTTTCTATCCTATTAATTTTACTTATTTTCCCTTAGAACCAAAATCAACATTAAAAAACATTTGTGGAGGATTCAAAGTTTGATTTGGCATAACACAAGTGTCATGACTATGTAAGAAAATATTATCATCTCATAACACATGATTTTTGTAACTTAATCATGAATTTAATGATTCTTATTGAAATATCAAATATTTATATCTTTTTATAGGAATTCAAATATCCCATCCAAGGATTGGATGAATTTAGCAAGGTATACCCAACCCTATATTGATCGTGTGGAATCATTCCTAGATTTTGCTTACTCTTATGGAAATCCTCACGGAGAGGAAATTCAATGTCCATGTGCAAAATGTTGTAATATTCGTTGGACTCGAAGGAATGTAGTGTATGATCATCTAATATTCTATGGATTTGTTAAAGGTTATACTAGATGGATCAATCATGGAGAATGGGATATCAAGTTGAATGTTGAAGATGATATGGATTGCTCGCGTGATGATATTGATGGATTGTTGAATGATCAATTTAGAGATGTTGCACAGGCAAAAGGAGCTTATAATGGTCCAAATGAAGATGCCAAGAAATACTATAACTTAGTTGAAGAGGCAAGCCAAGAATTATATCCTGGTTGTACAGGATTCTCTAAATTATCATTCACACTTCGTTTATATTTGTTGAAGTGTCTACACGGATGGAGCAATGAATCATTCACTTCTCTTTTAGAGTTATTAAAAGAGGCGATGCCCGAGTTGAACATTCCTCCCTCTTACAATAAAACCAAGTCTATGGTCAAGAATCTCGACCTTGATTATGAGAAAATTGATGCATGTCCAGATGATTGCATGTTGTTTAGGAATGATCATAAGGATGATAAATTTTGTCATACTTGCGGAGCTTCACGATATATTGAAAATCCTGAAGTTGATGGTAAGGTTGAGTCTTCTAAAAAATCACATCGAGTTTCAGCAAAGACTTTGAGACACTTTCCATTAATTCCTAGACTCAAAAGGTTATTTATGTGCTCAAAGACGGCAGATTCTTTGAGGTGGCATGATGAGGAGTGTTCAAAAGATGGAAAGTTAAGGCATCCCGCTGATGGTGAAGCATGGATTGATTTTGATAGGTTGCATCCAGATTTCGCACTAGATTCTCGCAATGTGAGACTTGGATTAGCAAGTGATGGGTTCAATCCATTTCGAACCATGAGTATATCTCATAGAACATGGCCAGTTATGTTGATGACGTATAATATGCCGCCTTGGATGTGCATGAAATCTGAATATTCTATACTTTCATTACTTATATTTGGGCCACGATCACCTAGAAATGACATTGATGTTTACTTACAACCATTGATAGATGAGTTAAAATTTTTGTGGAATTCTGGGGTTGAAACATATGATGCTTCAAGAAATCAAACTTTTCAAATGCGAGCAGCTCTTATGTGGACAATCAGTGACTTTCCTGCATATGCTATGTTGTCTGGATGGAGTACAAAAGGAAAGTTTGCTTGCCCTTGTTGTAACTATAGCACTAATTCTCACTATCTTAAGCACAGTCGGAAAATGTGTTATAAGGATGATCGTGTTTGTCTACCCATGGATCATCCATGGAGAGCTAACAAAAGATCGTTCAATGGAAAACCGTCAATTCAGGCCTCCTCCACCTTTATTAAAGGGAACTGATGTGCTTCATAACTTAAAAGATTTTGAAAATGTGTTTGGAAAGAAGATAAAGAGATCAAATAATGGCCCATGGAAAAAAAGGTCAATTTTTTTTGAATTACCTTACTGGCAGCACAACTTGTTACGCCATAACCTTGATGTAATGCACATAGAGCAGAATATAGTTGATAGCATTCTTGGAACTCTTTTGGATATTCCTGGCAAAACAAAGGATCATGCAAAAGCCCGATATGATTTGAAAGAGATGGGAATTAGAAAGAATCTTCATCCAAAAGATGCTGGAGATGATAAGAGAACAAAGTTTGCAAAAGCTTGCTTCTCAATGACAAATGGAGAGAAATTAGTTTTTTGTGGAGGTTTAAAGACAGCCAAGCTACCTAATGGCAGTGCCTCTAATATATCTAGGTGTGTGCAACTGGATGAAAGGAAATTGTCTGGTTATAAGACCCATGATGCTCATTTCATGTTACATTACTTGCTTCCAATACCCATTAAAAGCATCCTTCCAGATCATGTGGCTATTGCTTTAATTCGTTTATGCTCATTCTTCCAACGTTTGTGTCAAAAAGTTATAACATTGGAGGAATTAGTTTGCTTAGAAGTAAAGATAAGGGAAACAATAAATCAGTTGGAACAAATTTTTCCTCCGTCATTTTTTGATATAATGATTAATCTGCCTATACATTTGGCGAATGAAGTGATATTAGGTGGTCCAGTTCAGAACCGATGGATGTATTCCACTCAAAGAGAAATGGGTACATTTAAATCATATATCCGCACTAGACGTTATCCAGAAGGTTGCATAGCAGAGGCACGTGTGAGAATAGACTGTATGAATTTATTTTCAAGATATCTGAATGGGGATGTACAAACAAGATTTAATAGAAGAACCCGAAATAATGATGAATGTGACCCAACTGATGCAGAAATAGTAAGTTTGTTTCCTATTAAGGGATGTCCTATAGGAGCAAAGAAAACTGATCCATTTGTTTTCGACAACAAATCACTAAGTCAGGCACATGCATACTTATTGGGAAATTGTGATGAAATTCAAGAATATATTAGGTACTTTACTTTAATATAGTATTTTTATTTGTATAATTAAGTTTTAACATATTTAATTTATTTATAATTTTAACAAAAAAATACATGATATGTAGAGAGCATATGCAAGAGGTTAATAATCATCCGCGAAGATCTAAATGGATCAAGGCCAAGGATCATTGTCAAAACTTCTCTCAATGGTTTGAAACTCGTGCTTTGCAAGAGGATGTGCCTGATTTGATAAAACAATTGTCTAAAGGACCAAATGTTGTTGCTAAAAGATACTCTGGGTATCTCATCAATGGATATAGATTCCATAGTAGGCAGCGTGATGCAAGACGCAAAACACAAAATAGTGGTGTTACACTTGTTGCCTCAACTTCGAGCTTTGCAAGCTCAAAGGATAAGAACCTGATTGCTGCAGATTTGACTTATTATGGTAGAATAGTTGATATAGTTGAGTTAGACTATTATAGTCATTTTAAGGTTGTTCTCTTTAAGTGTGATTGGTATGAGGTTGACAAAGATATGTATGGCCTAACTTATGTCTATTTTAACAAGAGATGCTCTCTGGAAGAGCCTTTTGTGCTTGCATCTCAAGTACATCAATGCTTCTATGTGCAAGATCCATATGATCAAGATAGACATTATGTTATGAAGACTGTGCCAAGAGACTTGTTTAACATGAGTGATGAATTTGAATCTGATCTCCCACAAAATTATGAAAATGAGTTGTCTGAACACTTGACGGGACCATCCATACCAGAAGATGATGGTGAAGTTCCCTTAGTATGGAATGATATACCAGAAATTGTTATTGATGTGCCTCCGGAGGAATTTGATACTCAACAACTTGAGGTTGAATATGAAAAGGAGTTTGAAGATGAGTCTGAAGAAGAGTTCGAAGATGAATCTGAAGAAGAGTGTGAAGATGAATCTGAAAATGAGTATGAAGATGATTCTGAAGATGAGTCTGATGAATCTGAAGACGAGTTTGAACATGACTGTACACCATGAGTATTCTTATTTTTATAATGAACATATAGTGCTAACTCACTTTTTTTTGTTATTTAACTTTTTTTGTACAAACACCTTAAGATGTCTATGTATAATGTTGGCTTTGTTTATGTGTGGCTGTTTTTGGTCGATAATTTATGTTGACTTCTTTAATTTATGTAATTATTGTTTTGTTGATGAAGCTGTAATTCTAGCTTACTTTTATTTTATTTGACTGTATGTTGGCACAACTTGTATAACTAAGGTTAGTAATGTCTGGAGTATGCATGTTACATGTATCAAATTACATTCTAATAGTAAATGTGAATTGTTGTTGTCATCTAAATTCTTATTTTTTGCTATTACTATTAGGCATTGGACATTACAGGCAGCACAGTCAAGGCAGTGAAGGCAACACAGTGAAATCAGTCCTCCTTATGTACCACTCCCTTAAATTTCTGGAAGCTAAAGATTGGTTCACAACTCGTTCTAATTAGCACAGTGAATTCAGTCCTCTTCTATTTGCAGGTTTGCTTTTTCTATTTAACAATAACATTATTACTGTTTTGTAGTTTAAGTTACTGTTGGGAAAGAAAATAAAGATATTAAAAGAAGGCGGAAATAATGAGTCAATCAGCAGCACTAAAGAAAAAGGGTTCGAATCCGAACAAAGCTCAAAGCCCATTGAAGAATCTGAACTTTGATATGCAATATCGATCAAGTACTGAATTGGCTAACCAGTTAAAGATTAAGAGAGAACAACTTGCTAACAAACGCAATGATAAAGCTAAGAAAGAGCATGTACCAATAGCGCATAACAGAAAGAATTCTGAGGATTTAATTCTACAAACTAAGAAGAGATTATTTCAATCTGGAGAGTCCATTCAAGAGAAAAGAATTAAACTTCCTATGCAAAACTTTAGGTTCCAAATATCTTCAAAGCAAGGTGTTACTGATTCAGTTTATGTGACTGGGGAAACATTTGGTAATTCAGAGGTACAACATGGTATTCAAGATCAATTAAACTTCAAACAGGTGAAGAGGAAATCTGTCATACCGGCCACAAGTCTTGATCAGTTTCTAGCAGAACAATGGTTACAGAAAGAACATGATATTAATGATCTACCAAACTGCAAGCAGGTAAAGAGGAAGTCGATCATAAGCGATGAAACAAAAACAGATTACCACACAGTAGCAGATGATCTTGTGGATCAAGAAGAAATCAATAGGGATGAGTGTGCTATAGAAGAGGAAATTGGCATTGATTGTAGTACGAAAGGTATGTCTCAAGCGTTATAAGATTTATTACTTATATAAATGACATTTCTTATTTACTTACTGTTACATAAATCAAGAAATATTGGAGGCGAAAAAAGTCCGAGGAAAAACAACATGTAAGGATATTCACGCAAGAAATTTGGAAGAAAGAAAGGAGGTTACATTTGATAAAGGGCAAGCAGTGGGACCAACTGGTAAGATAGTGTCCGAATTCACCAACTTTATAGGAACAATTTCAAGGAATCCGAGTTTCATCAACTTGATGTACACTAGTTGGCATGCGGTGCCAGAAGATACTAAAAAGCGCATGTGGGAATATATAAATGTAAGAACAATTAATTTTTAAATTGCATATTTATTCTTTGTTTTTACAGATTGAAGCTAACTATATTTTATTTTACATAGTCCAAATTCATAATTCCAATAGAAGGAAAAGCGTGGGTGATGACTGGCTTTCGTGATGCTTGGAAGCAATACAAGCAAAAAATTAAAGAGAGATTGTTTGATAAAAATAGTACCATTGAGGACATGCTAGCAAAATGTCCCAGTGACATTGCAGAAGATGAATTTCGTCAATTGATCGAGTATTGGAAAGACCCAACTGTTCAAGTAAGGCTAAAATACTACATTTCTATTGTTCAACATATTTTGGATTATATCGATTCTATTTTTGTTTTATTTATTAATTCAAACATATCTTTTTATATAATTATAGGCCATGTGTGAGATGAATTCTCAAAACAGGAAAAAGCAAAAATGGAGGCATCGAATGGGACCTATTAGTTTTGCAAGAGTACGTGTGTCATTGGTAATACTTAGCATCTTTGGCCATATACATTTAATCCATTTGTATTCCTCCAATAGATTAATTAGTTTTTAAATATCTTTTTATATAATTTGTAGCGTGCAACCAAAGAAAACAATGAGGAACCATCAAAGTTTGAAATGTTTTTTGCAACTCGTACAAAAACGGGAAAGGAACTTCAGGGCGATACTCAAATTGCAATAGTAAGTTTTTTAAAGTGTATTAATGACGAATTTAATTCAGGTTTAATATTTTTTTCATTGTTTAAAGGGTGATAATTTATTTTAATATGCTTGAAGGGATGTCAATTGAAGTTAGTTAATGAACCATAAACTCATTTAAGCTAGAGAGAAATAAGAAGTACTTGAATATAATATGAAAGTCAATTTTATTCAATAGGCTGAACTTCAGAATCGCCAAAATTCCGGGGAAACTGCAGATGATGTTTTTACGGCAGTGTTTGGTAAGGAGCAGCCTGGTCGACTTAGGTGTTATGGTAGATCAGTGACAGCAAGTTCATTGAAGAAAGATGAGGAAGATAGCAAGCTAAAACAAAAACATGCTAATGAAATCACTTCTCTAAAAGAAGAAATGAATGAAATGAGAGAGGAAATAAGAGAAGAAATGAGAGAAGAAATGCGAAATTTTTTTAGTCAATTGCTTCAAAACAACCCTGGATTGAATGTTCGAGGAATGCAAGGGGGTGTTGTATCTAACATTGCTTCACCTATTGATGCGGGTAGTACACAAGCTGTAAAAGGCCAAAATCCTCTACAATATTCTGGGTCAACTCATGATCCGATTCTTTAAAAGGTATTTAGTACTTTTTCAAATTAGTCCTCTCACTTTCTCAGAAAGTCTTCTTGTTTGTAATTTTTATTGATTAACTTCATGTTTGAATCAAATTAGTTATTGTTAGTGG